AGTGTGTTAGCTGAGGCTTTGCAAGCCAAGGAGGGGCTGCCTTTGACGATCCCTGTTGCCTTGATTCCACAGCGAGTCCCGGGCAAGCGTTGTTAGACTCGGAATCGCACGTTTATAGAGTTCGCTGGATGTCTCGCAGCGTTTTGGCACTACAAGCCCAACCTCTTCCCATACCTTTAGCACAGATGTTAAACGGGGAAACCCGCTCCCGCAGCTGCAGGAGCTGATGTCCTCCCTGGTGCTGTTGGGTCCGATGTGTCCTGCTGCGGATGGGAGGATGGAGACCCTGGGAAAAACCATCCTGGTACCAGATGCTCAGCAGCATGTTTTTAAGGCACCTGTTTACAAAGTGCTGCATCTATGTGTTACTTTTTTAAGAAGTGGTTTAAATGGGGTAGCTGTGCTGTAATTTATTGCTGTGTCGTGTGCCTCGTTCTTTCTTGGCCCAGCTACTGTCTTGGAGTCTGCGGGAGCCGAGCGGCGAGAGCTGTGCAGGCCCCTCGGAGGAACTTGTGCAATTAAAATAGCAGCACTGAAGTTCCTCTGACTGCAGGAGGTTTGCATTAACTGGGCCTTCAACAAAAGTGTTTCTTTACCGGATCTGGGGCTCTAAATTTCAAAATCTTTTAATGTATTGGGTATTTTACTTGTTGCCAGAGATGGACTTGAGCCTAGAAAGTCTCGATCTAGGCTCGAGGTACAACATTAATCTTTGATCAAAATACTATGTAGTTCCTGTGCAGTTACAAAACCTTAAATGCTTTTGTGCTTGCTGCTTTGTAACAGAAGTAGGTAAGCTGCGTTATTTATCCCTCACTTGCTACGGCTTGAGACCAGAGCAGCCTGCGTGGGGGTGACCCTCCAGCAGACGTTACCATGGTGTTTGTGTTACTTCCTGTTGCTAATTACTCTCGAGCTTTTCTTTTAAATCTGCACCTAAACACTGACATTTACTTACGGCAGAAGTCTGACATGTCAATCGAATTTGAGATGGTAATGGAAGGCGTAATAAAGGCTTGTAATAATTTGGAGTATGTTGTTACCTTATTAATAAATAAACTGAGATGAAGGTGTCCAGTGACCTCTTTTGCGGCTCGTGCAGCCACCTCCTTGAAAACACAAACGTGCTTCACACTGGGAACTGTGTTCCTACTCCTGCTGCTTTGTGTCCCACCTGGTTAAGTTTGGGTGAAAAGCCCAAGTACCAGTTTCAGTACGGTTTCCCACAACAAGTAACCGGTAGCTGAAGTGGGACAGCTGTGCTGTGAATTCAGCTCCTTGTACAAGTGCCTGGACTCCTGCTCCCAAAAAAGGAAAAGGCATTTTAAATGCACTGCTACAGCTGTGCAAGGTGCTTTTCCTGGTGCATGGAGGGAGTTACTAATATCCAGGGTCTTCCTTCATCCCGCCCAGCAAACTGCCACGCTGCAGCTTTGATGGCAGAAAAGGCCATGTGCTGCGGCTGGCTCACCCTGGATAAGGGGGGGGTGGGGAAGACTTTGCTGCAAGCACCAGTAGAACCACACCTTTTGAGTGGGGGTGGACCTCCTGCCCTGGGAGGAAAGCTACAGCACTGCCAGAGTTTTCAGTTAGAAAACAAAGGAGAAAATGTTTTTGGTGGTGTGTGGGTGTTGTTTTTTTTTTAACTACTGAAGGAAAACACAGTTTGCTGCATTGGCTGCTTGTTTTGGGGGCTTATAAGTAAACCTTGACAATAAGGAATCTGTTCAAGGGCTGTGCATAGAGGCAGACCTCAGTGCGCAGCTCCCACGGAAAGCAGGGGTAAATCCACACACACCCAGGCACACGGAAGAAGAGAGAACCCGTCCCGAGCGTCACACTTAAGTAACATTTATTTTATCAGGGTAGGTGGTCCAAGTTGAATGTACTCATGCAGGCAAGGGGCCCGGCGGCTGTCGAGAGCTTTTCCCCGGTTTGTGCTATGTGTGAGCGCTTCCACTGATGTGAAAGTAAGGCAGAACCAAGATTCAGCAAGGTACAGGCACTTTGTTCCCAGCTCAAGCAGGGAAAAAATAAAAGCCTACATCACATCCTGGTCCCCCCCACCCCAAAAAAGCCTCGTGTTTGTTAAACAAAACGTTGTAAAAAATAGAAAAAAACCAAGATACAGAAAGTCGGTGCTCCCTAGCCATACACTACTAGGTTACGTCATCATAGGTAAGACCAGACGTATAAGAAATAATGTGAAAGCTTACTATTAACAAGTGTTCCGTTACCTGGGATACTCAGCGGGATGGGCAATACCAAGCCTCTGACAGCAATACGGCGACAGTCTGTCTGGCCTGGCATTGCCAACCATGCCTGACAGCTTGGCTAACTGTGCTGTTACACCACTGCCCATAGGAAGCAACGTTGGAAAGGGATTCTAGATTCCATGTTCTCTGCTTACGTCAAACAGTGATTTACAAAAACCTCGTATACCAAACAAGATTCTAAATAAATAGTTCATCTCCGTGGCTATGTACAGAGTCCCCACACCATCAGTTGCCCAGGAACGGCATGTCTGTGTCCATGGGCGCCGGGGCAAGTTCACATAGGTAGAACAGCATGGCTTCGCTCACCTCTGCCTCCGTCAGCGGCTCCAGCCGCACCAGTTTGCTCTGGGTGGGCTCGGGGTCCAGGCTGCCCTCCAGGAGCTGGTCCGCTTCCAGGGGTTTGCCAGCAGAGGAAGGAGTCTCAGCTGTGGAGCTCCCGCTCTCAACGCCGGAGCCTGGGTTCCCATCGAGGAACGCAAGGAGCGGAAACGCAGTGTACTGTATGAGCTGCTTATCTAAGGGAACAGAAATCCCCAAAATAGCATCAGTTTATATGCCCTTCTACGTGCAGAAGAGAAAAAAACCCCGAACCCACCCCACGGAATTTACTGAGAGAATAATAAGGACCGATTGGAGGTGTTTGTTCTAAGCGAGTGCTGAGAGAACGGTCGCGCAGAACACTCATGTACATTCGCCTGCAGAAACACCCGCTTCTCTGCCCCTGGTGCTGTGCCAAAACCCTAAGCAGCACATCAGTCGGGTATTCTGCTCAGGATACTTGCTCATCAGCACAACACAAAACCAGTCGAAGCACCAGCCACCGAGGTGGTTGTCAGAACAATGCCCGTACAACTGTAAAACTCTTTCAACACAACACTGCAACTAACCTGATACCGGCTTCGAGACTTGGGTTTCCGGGGAATCTGCTGGGCCAGCATTATTCTTGGTAGTTTCTATTCCCTTTGTCTCCATCTGGGAAACAAAAGTGAAATCTCAGCCCGGCCGGAAGCCTTCCCCAGTGCCACCAGATGCAGCTGACCAAGCGCTTACAGAAACCCAGCTGTTACTGGGGAAGGGGTGCAGGGGTATCCGTTACCCACGGGAACAGACAGCGGCTGAGAGCATGTGACATGGCTCACCCGAGCAAGAACCAAGCCCAGCGCTCATGCGTGAACACAACAAATTCAAAGCGCTAAACCTTCGCTCTGCCGTTTGCTCTTACGTTTCTTTTCCCGCCAGACAATACAGAGGAAAACGTGCTGACAAAGCATGTACCACGTCTGCGAGCACTAACATCCTGGAGGACACCCAAGCCAAGAGACCGGTACCACGTACAGGTGCTGGCCTCGAGGCAACCCAAGTGTTCAAGGACACGGACGGCGAGCGTGCTTTTCCCTCTTCGGTGTGAAACCTGACAAAGCGCCGCAGCCTTCCTGCTCTCGCCGACACCTTCGCAGCCAGAGCAGGAAGGAAGCGCTGCTATACCAGCAAATGAACCAGCAAAGGATGCATGCAGTCCGCATCTCGCTACTGAGTGCATTCAGCAGCGGGTTTAAGACTTACTTTGGTATTAGTGATGTGATCCGTGGGATTCATCTGCACGGAGGTTGTGAAAAGCTGAGCAAGACAAAACACAGCAAGTTTTAGGCATCTCGATGTTGTTGTTAAGAAGACAAGAACATCACACCCGCACAGGCAAGAATAATCCCCGTACTATGTTTCCACCCTCTGTCAGGATTAGTGTTTATTTACAGGTAGTTACCACTTCTGCAAAGAAAACCTAGCCTGGTAGTGGATTTGGAATTCCATGAACCTCAGTCACAAAGCAACGACTATATTACACCTAACTTAGACTAATGTGGTTTGCTATGGCCCTAAAACACCGATTCCTTCTTAGGCTGCTGCGTGGGGAGCTGCGTGTCCCACGAGGAAGCACACACTGGGATCAGGCCTGCAAGTGACACAGAGTGGAAGGAGTCACCAGTACGTGGGAGAGAGCAGAGCCGCCACCCAGAGGGACCTCAGCTCGGTGCAGGAGGGGCCAGCAGGCGCCCCGTAAAGTTCCACAGCCAAACACGTTCAGGACACGATACTGTCACGTGCTGGCCCAGGGGAAGGGATCAAACGGACGCGGAGCAGCTCCTCAGAGAGAGACCTGGGGGTCATGGAAGACGACGGCCTACCAAGAGCCAGCAGCACGGCCCTGCTACGGGCAGGCACGTGCTGCTACAGGGACAGCAGGGCTCTGGGTCAGGGGAAGCAATTCTTCCTCTCTGCGAGCACCTGAGGCCACCTGGAGAAGTGTGTCCTGCTTCAGGCCTCCCAGTACACGAGTTTTCAAACTGGAGGGTGTCTGGAGGCTCATGACATACAAGAGGCTGAGGGAGCCTGGCTAATCTTGTCTGGAGAGGGCAGGTGATGGAGGACAACTGCGCTCTTCTGCTGTGCCTGCAGAGGGGCTGCAGAGAAGACCAACTCCACAGGAGTGGGGTGGGCACAGGACACCTGACATAAGGAAATTCTTAACGAATTCTTAACATAAGGACATAAGGAAATTCTTAACGAAGCAGAGACAAGGACTGAACAGGCACCCGAGGCGCTGTGGAATCCCCCATCTCTGGAGATTTCAGAATCTGCGTCAACAAGATCCTGGGTGACATGACTCAACTTTCAAGCCGGCCCTGCTCTGAGCAAGGGGGCTGGAACAGACGACCTGCCCAGGCCCCTTCCAACCTAGACCATCCTACTCAGTGTACCTCAGAAGAGAAACTGAGAACACACACCCTCCCAAGAAATAACCTGAAACAGCAGAGAAACCTGCAAAATAAATGCCAGGAGCCTTTTGCTTTCAGAATTCCACAGATGATGTGCTGGGCTATTTCAGAGCGCCAGTATTGATTTAATTGGTGTCTGACTTCATGTGGCAACAAACACAAGCAGTATCTCATTAAGGCAGAGACATTCTGCAATCAAAAACTTCAGTGTTTGCTTCAGCGGTGGTGCAGCACTGGGAATTACACCAGTGCCCCAGAAACACACATTCACAAGTATTTATAGCCTCCTTTTTTTAAAGGGAAGAAAAGAAAAAAACCCACATCTGTTGTGTTTTAAATCTGTGTTTTCAACTGTAACAACCCACACAGTTATTTTCTGCAGCGTATTACCAAAATACTTTTAATAAAGAGTGAAAATTACATCCACCAGGAGATCTGGATCTATGCTGAACTGCCGTCCTGATAACATCGCTTGGAAGTCCTCTAAGCTGCAGTCGATACTGTCAAGGTAATCCAGAAGTTCAACTCTAGAAGACAAATAGGATTTTATTGCTGTATCCCTTAAAAAAGGAAGAAAGACCTGCAGCTGAGCATTACACAGATGTACCAGACGCATCTAAAAACCTCCACCAGAACTAGCACGAACCAAGCCTTTCATTAGAAAGATCCCCTGGGGAATAAAAAAAGGCAACCTTTCAGCTTATTTAGAGGAGAGCCCAAGTGAAGCGGGCAGGTGCTCCAAAAGAGGTATCCCAGCAACCTAACACTCCAACGTGGCGTCAGCAGAGATGCGGACCTTGCAAGCAGGCAGCCCTCCTGAGCCACATCCGCCTGTGAGGGCTGGGCAGCTGAAACCCGACCATTCCAACGATGATGCTCGCAACACCGCGCTGTCAGGCTCCACGCCCCGACCCACTCGCTTCGCAGGGAACATCAGAGATCCCGTCATAAAACAGCAAGATCTTTAGAAACTAGCTAGAATACAGGTGACCTATAAATTTGAAGTTCTCAGTAGAAACTGCTATTCAGTTCTTTTTAATTCAAACAATGAATTCTAGCACTTGAAAGAACAAAAGACCAGAGTACTCACTTCCCAAGCACATTTATGTTCTGTGAGATGACTCCATTCTCGTTGAGTATGGAATCCATCATAGAAACCGGATCTTCTGCAGCTGAGGTTGACTGGTTATTCAGCTGCACAGCACTCGACATGAGTGGGCTTTTATCGTCACTGACAGGGCTGAGGGGATCATTAGCCGGGAGCGCGACTGACTCTGTGCTTTTATCCCCTTGAATTACAGGGGCATATTCTTCTTCGTTATCATCTTCCACAATTACAATATCAGGAAAATTACTACAGCTGTAAGATGAGACAAATGAATTAAAGCATTGCCTACGCTCATTGAATTGGTACTATTCCACAGGTTTAGTTACTTCTCGTTTTGGTCAAACCACTATAAGGAAATAAACTTCTGCTTTTTAATATAAACAAAGCAAGATGCTCTAAACATCTGTTTTCCACTGATGCGGTGCTGTAATGCTCAACACAGTTAATGTCGCTCAAGTCGCAGACACTGTTGTGCAAGACCACAGTAACAACTACTGTAAAGACAGAGGAACACTACAAACAACGATAAGCTCGTATATAAATGTAAAGTAGGTACAAAGCAGAGCAAAGCACGAGGCCATCAAAGCAGTTATCTATTCTGCATCTTTCCTGTTGAACAGAATCAACTCTGGGGCATCCCAACATAAAGAATCTCAGTTGACAGTGTTGTAGGTAATTAACCTCGTTATGCACACCAGGAGGGCAACCTAAAAACCAAAAGTCAGTCTCGAATAATTTGCTTTTCTCCATGCTGCAGCTCTATCTTCATGAAGCTTTTCTACCAGAGAGTGCATTCCCAGACATCAGCTGAACAAGAACTGTTTTACCAGTTCAAGTATAAGCTGGAAATGTCTTTTAAGTTTTAGTCCTTGAGGCACAATACGGGCCCCATCAACGCAACGGAACTCAGGAAGAGAGCTGTCTCTCAATCCCTGGACCAAGTTCCAACTGCCCGTAACTGAAAGATGAACTATTTCTGTCGTGCCAGGTACAGATGGGAAGGAACACAGTCACAAAATACTTGGACTGAAAAAAAAAAACCCAAACCCTGAAATTAACTGGCTTAATAAAGTTCAAAGACCACACCGACACCTGACAACCAGCACATGCAAATTATTCTCCAGGAAAACCTGTAAAAACAAGTGAAGTCCTTCCTGTCTGTATTCATAAACATCACTTGCTTTGTCTGTGGACAAGTAACATAGCGAACAAGAGCGCAGTAAGACGGATTGCTGCTCACTAGCAACAGGCTTTTTCTATCCTCAGCATATTAAAACTCCAACAGCCAATTACCTATTTGGAACAAATTTAGAGGTCAACAAATCAGAACCCAGTGTGAATTCACAGATGAAGCTTCTGTGTGTGCAGGAGTACTGGGTAATTGTGACCGCTTTATTAAAACAAACTATGCAGTGACTCAGATGTCTTGGACACGGACAACACTGAAAGCCAATTATCGACGGAGACTTCTCGAGACTCCTTACTTCAAAGAATCTGGAGTGGTGTCTTCATTTGCTTCTGGTATAACGGGAGGATTTCCTTCATCGCTCATCGGATTTTCTTCATCACCGACATCCTCAGTGACATCATAAATAATGATATCATCTGAAATCTGTTTCCTTTGTTTTAAGCCCTCATTTCTGTTGAGAGGTACCTGAGGGTTATTTTAAGAGAGTCAGGGAACAGAAGGACAATGACCTTCACCATTCTAACAGTTATTATTGGGTCTTACAACACCTCAAATCTGATGAGGTGCAAGAGCTCTCCTACACTTCAGAGACTACAAACTGTTTGTATAGATCTACATTTAACAGAAAAAAAAAACCCCTAAACCCAAATAAACGAACAAGATGGAGATTAGCAGCTACAGAAAAAATGTTTGGCAAACGCTACAGGCATAGAAATAAAACTATACTAGTACTGTCAGCAAAAGCAACAAAAAAGCTGCGACAACAGGACTACACAAGATCTAAAAATATTAAAACGGTGACTGCCATTTAAACAGTACTTTGTTACACAGCTGTTAATTCTAGTACCATGCTACAGCACTCACTCTAACGATGCCCCCCCCCAACCATTATTTGGAGAGCAGAAAACGACTTTCAGTGGCGTGACACATTCAAATGGCACAGGAGCTTGATGTGATTTTGCTGCCTCGCAGAGCGGCAGAGTGGATCCTCGTCACTCTACAGGGCTAGGGGTGCCCAACTCCCAGAGGCCATTCCTAACGGCCCCGTTACAGAAAGTGAACTCTTTTCAGTAGGATCACATAAGAGTCATAGAACCACAGGATGGTTTGGGTTGGCAGGGACCTTAAAGACCATCCAGTTCCAACCCCCCTGCCATGGGCAGGGACACCTTCCACTAGACCAGGTTGCTCAAAGCCACATCCAGCCTGGCCTTGAAGACATCCAGGGATGGGGCATCCACAGCTTCTCTGGGCAACCTGTTCCAGTGCCTCACCAAGCTGTATTTAACATCAAGCTGTATTTAACACACAGGTAACTGGCTTATACATGCTCATACTGAAAAGTGAATGGTCATTACCATGCTTGTCTTCTGAAGGACATACAACATGGCCTGTCCCTTCTAAAAGTTGACAGCTCTCAGTACACAGCTATGTTTTATTCCCCCTAAGACAAACTACTTGATCTGTCTGCCCCCCTCCACTGCCTCCTTCACCATAACCAAGAGTAAACATTAAAGAAAACTTACATGGTGGTTACTGTCAGCTGGTTCTTTCACAATTTTCTGAAATACATTCGACTTTGTAGGTCCGTTAGTGTTCAGAAGTAGAGGCCTAAATCAGAAACAGTAAAGGAAGAAAATCATATCAGTACACTAATTCTTTGGTTTTAGTCAACAAAACATGTCAGGACATTGACTGGACAGGAAGTTTTCACAACCGTATTTACCTCTTGCGTTTCAGGCTCACTAGTTGGTTATTCTGCACCAAGGTAACAATAAATTGTACAATCTACAAGGAAAAGAACACTGTTGTTAGTCACTCTACTCTGCAGTTGTTTCCTCTCAGAGTACCAAGGTATCTTACAGCACAAGACTTCAATAAAAAAATCTGTACATAAACAGCAGAACACTTCTGTATTAACTTCTCTGGAAGTGTTCAAGGCCAGGCTGGATGAGGCTTTGAGCAACCTGGTCTAGTGGAAGGTGTCCCTGCCCATGGCAGGGGGGTTGGAACTAGATGGTCTTTAAGGTCCCTTCCAACCCAAACCATTCTATGATTCTATGATTCTGTAAACTTTCACATAGAACTGTTCAGAAAAGTGAAAAACTGGTAGCACAGAAACCACTGCTGGTCATATCTAAAATAAACAGCTATTCAGTTGCCTGAGAAAGGCTTTTTATGCAGCAGGCAAGAAGAGTAGACTTGTACACTACATCATACAGTACACAGAAAAACATCCAGTACCTCAGACTATTAGAAGGATTTCAATAAGCAGCAGAAGACCTATAGGGGTGTTGACTGTATCTGTAAATAGCAGTTCTGGTGAAAGGCATTTTTGACAGACTCAGAAAAAAATGACACGTACACTTAACAACATTCAAAAGGAAAGGCAGCAATGAAACGATCGACTCTCTTATGTTTTAAATTTAAGAATTAAACATATGTATCTGTCTTGAACAAACCAGCAAAACAAAGATCAGTAAGAGTCGCTGCTACAAGGCTGCTTTCAGTGATGGTATGTCTGGTATGTAAAAAAACAAAAGATCTGACAACTCTTTGTGTTTACCACACTTCTGGTAGATCACACATCTGTTAAACTAAGCTAGGCTACCAATATTATCAGTGGGTTTCACTCAATCATCTGTTCTTCTGGTAACTTCAGAAATATACAGTCAGTGGGTCAGCAGTGAATTTCCAGTACAGAACTTCAATTCCTACAGTAAGGAAGAGTTTTTCCTGAGAACATCCAACACAGAATATTAGTCATCTGACTCCTGAAGTAATAAAAAACAGATGGACCATTTCAAGGGTACCCTAATGAATGATGAACGACGTTCCTGAACCTCTTTCTTTGAAAATGTTTACAAGAGCCTGACCTTATCTTCTGCTCACGTGGTGAAATACACTGAATCTCTGCTTCAGAGAGGTTTGTTCACTGTACACCACCCCGTTGTTTTTTCTATTAAAAAGACACTTCATGACAAAAACGGAAGAGTGAGGGGCAAAGCAAGGTAGAGCCCTCGTTCAGCAGCACTCGCTCACCCGCACACGACACTGGAATGAAGCCTTACCTTCCGGATAACCTGCTGTTGTTGCAAGTGTTTTGCCCTCAGTTCTGCCACTTCCCTCCAAAGGGATTCATTCTCCCTGTTCAAAGGGATGATTTAAAAGTCAAACTCAGACTACGTTTTGAAATATTCATGAAACTGCCATTTTACAAACCTTGGTTGTTCCGGTACTCACTGAAGGAGCTTCAGTGACGAAGGAAAGACAACGTACCACCCTCGTCTCTCGGGCAGTTTCGTTTTCAACACAGATGTATGTCAGAAAAGGAGGAAAATCCCTCCACTGGTGTTTGGGATTTTAGGAAACCTTAAGCTAGGTTTTCAGAAACAGCTGTCTGTATGCAGTGGGATGAAGCCGAACCCTCAAACTGCTCCTACGCCCAACATACAATTAAGAGCACAGTTCCTTCACAAATTTAACAACCGAGGTCAGGGATTCTGAACTTTCTCCATTTTCTCACCAGCTTTATTAACATGTGTGCTCACTGTAAACCATGATAACGTGTTTTGTAGGACTAGGGCTTCTGCTTTCACTCCAGTTTCTACTTCAACCATTCTAAACTCATGGGACAACAGTATGGATGTCAAAGACCAACTATTCTATCTTCTCATCTCTACAAACTGTCCTTAGCAACCAGATGCCATTTCAGCCAAAGTCAGCCCTGCTCTGGGCAGGGATTAGGACCTGGCAGCCTTTTGCAGTTCCTTCCAATCCAAATCCATCTGTGGTTTAAAGAAGGTGAATATGAACATTTTTACTCTAGACTGGCCAGATTCTAATGAAGAATCTTCCTAGAAAAAAATATTCTACCACTCGAGTAATCAGAACTAGAACTGAAGACTAGAAATGACAGCATTTACTTCTTAATACTCGAACTCATCGGTGACCCCTGCCACAGCGGTACGCGATCCTTTACATTCTCAACGCAAGTTAAGGAATCCTGAGGTCAGAGTTACGGGTGAGGTGCTGCGACTGACAGTGCACGAGCTCATGCTTCTCCTGTCTGTAGCTACTTATTTTCAAGGCTTAAGTAATTTGTGACACACATCTTGTAATTACTAAACAGGCAATAATGTAATTCTAAAAATACTCTATTTACATTTGGATTTTTGATTCTGTACCTCCCATTGAGGTAACTAATGAATTTCCTAATTAGATTTCGGAACAGATTTTCATAGGCATTAACTCTTCTGCAATTTTTAGCAGTGAGGGAATGAAGACAACAGGAAAATAAAAAGCAATGAGCAAAGACCTTAATTGCAGTAGCATTATAAGCAATTTATACAAACCAGACTACCTCAGACTAAACACAGTAACTACTACAAACCTGAAGACTTAAACCAGCCTACTTTATGCTAAGAGCCGAGTTGAATATTCAGCCTCAATAGCACTACGGAACTATTATTAAAGGTGTTATTTAACTGCCCATTACTAGACAGTTCTTCCAACACCAATCTCCTATTACTTTCATTGAAATTTATTTTCCTAGAGCAATATTTAAAGTTAGGCAATAAGAAATCAAAAGACAACTAAAATTGGGTCTTTGTCTGATCCCCATTATCAGGATTACTCAATTTTAGGGATCAGTCGCTGATGGAGCGACTTACCTCTTCAAAGCAGACAACCGAGATTCAATAGTCTCTTGTTTAATTTGCACCTTCTGAGCACTACTTATTATTCTGGAGATATCTTCCTGACTTATCTTGTTTTCTTCAGGTCTCGAAGAAGAAACCTTTGAAAGATTAGAATCCAGAAACAACACTTTACTCACTGTTATAACTATAATTCCCTTTGGTGATCAAGTATATTTTCTTCTAGTGTTGATTAACGATGCATTTAAGTTAAAAATAAACCAAGCATCAAACAAAGAATACAGAAACACGCAGCAATGTCCTCTTACAGCTGTCACCACATTAGCTTTAGTTGTTACAAGCATTTATGTACGTTTGGATTCTTCAGGCATTCTCCTAAGAGCCCTAACTCAGTGTTAATAGTTATATCCTTCCCAGCAGAGTTTCACTTGCTGTGTTTCTATTTGATATCTGTATTGGCCTGCTTCACAGTAACAGCAGAGCACATTTCAGAATCCCATTTAGCAGTGTAACAAACGCATTTATAGGTTTGCTCCCTGTTCTCTGGTGGAAAGCGTGACGCTTACAGTAGCTTTATTCTGAAACAAGCCTCGCAAACAAGCAGATCGTTAAATTACTGATGGTAAAGTCAATGCAAGCTCTGCGCTTCTAATACCCACTCTCAAAATGTCGTATTTGCATAACTCGCTCATTTTTGCCACCTGTGTAACTTACTGTAATGACAGCGAAGCAGGTTATATAAAGGAGCCTAGTCAAATCCCCCCAATACCTTTAAACAAGTCAAGATATACATGAAAGCAGTGCAGTTTGTTTCCCCAAACGCCAAACTTACTTGCATTCACAATCCTGCAGTTAAACTTCACGCAAACTTTGCTATTCATTCATACTTACTAGTACAGGTTTTCCACATAGTGAGTTTTCACTAACCTTCCTTTTAATGTGCTCCAGCAAGTCCTCCCGGCCCTGCTTAAAATACGGGTGCTGAAATTCTACCGGACCGTCTCGCTCCAGTTTGACAATCCCAGTATCGACATGGAGAACTTTACGGAAGCCATCTTTAAAAAAACAACAACAAACAAAAAACCCTCTCAAAATCCACATTAAGATATTCAAACTATGCTGTTCCAACTCTCCTGTTACCAGTTTTGAGGATAAGACAGTATCCTATAGTCGCAGAGAACACGAGGCCACTGCTCAAAGGAAACTGCCCTATACCAAAACACGTACAGGATCTAGAATGATGCCAGAAAGCCAAAACCCAAGAACTTACATATGTTTAACTGTCTGACAAAGCTCGCCATGTTGTTGTGCTTGAAGTACTTGGGAAGAATCTCTTTTGCAAATCTCTGTTCATCCAACACCAAGAAACTCTGGCCATTCTAAAATGAGAGAGACACGTTAAGCTACTTAAAGACCTCTGCAGAAAACACGCTGGGTGTTTAGAATTAATCACCAGATAGGAATGTTTCCTTTGTGCAGGCAATACGTAACTGATCTGCTTGCCTACCACTTTCCACAACAAAAAGTGTACAAACCCTGCAGTTGCAAAGCAACAGAGTATTATCAATTTACTTTGTTATCCGTATCTGAAGGGGAGCATCTCTGTTGTTACGCATTGCTTCCTCAAGGTATGAATTAATTGTTTACCAACAGTTACCACAGTTTCACTACAGGACAACACTATCAATTTCGTATGTAGCTTCAAAGTATTGGGAAGGAAACCAACAAAGAGACTGTGCAAGGAAAAGACCCAACAACCAGCTGCGAGCCCCTTCTGCTTTCCAGTGTAAAAGCATGATTAGTTTGGTAGGACTTGTAGATCAGATGGAGCTGTCAAAGAGCTGCTGAGGGTGTCCACTGGGTCTTGGAGTTACCAAAAAGGTAACTGCCCAAGGCAATATCCCCTTCCTCCTGGAATGCCAGCTCTGAGGGAGAACGGATCTTTTATTTCATCCACAGGCTTTGACTAAAATAGAAGGCTCAGGTCTTAGTTCTGCAGTGACTGTGCTCCATTAAGTAAAGGACAAGTAATCTGCAGAATCCAAATTAGCTACTTCAAAATGGTTTAGGTTTTGTCTGTACATCCTGTGCTGGTGTTAGTTGGAATAGAGTTCATTTTCTTCACAGTAGGTAGCTAGGATGAGGCCACTTTGGATTTGTGCTGGGAAGCGTACTGGTACCACTGGTTTTTTTAGCTGTTGCTAAGGAATGTTTCTATCAACTCAGGGACTTCTTCAGTTTCTGATACTGCACCTGTGTTCCCAGCTTCTTCCCTACAAGAAGCTGGGAGGGGACACAGACAGGACAGCTGACCCAAACTGGCCAAAGGGGTATTTCATCCCATAAAACATCATTGCATAAGCTGGGTGTAGGCTTTCACATTCACTCTTGTGCTCTCTCACAGGCTTGGTTGGGCTCTCTGGCTCTCACTACCTGGGACCTGGCTGGGTGTCGCACGGTGGGTGCTGAGCAGCCGTATAATTTATTTTCCATTATCTTCATTGCATATTATTATTAGTAATATTAGTATTGGTAATATTACTGGGGTTTTTAGTATTACTGGTATCACCATTTTATTGATTTATACTCAATAATTAAATTGTATTTATCTCAACACACAAGTTTCTTTGTCTTTTCCTTCGATTCTCCTCCTCCACTGGAGGGGGGAGGGGAGGTGAGCAAGTGGCTGTGTGGTACTTAGCTGCTGCCTGGGATTAACCCACAACAACCCTCATACTCTCACCCTGTGTTTAATGAGAAGTTTATAATCTTCAACAAATGTCCACACTGACACTGCATCTCCTTAGAAGCCCTTTAGTTCAAGGACTCACATTTGTTTCTTACTCTCAAATGCCAGAAGCTCTATGATTCCTAGAAGCTTGAGGAACCAACCATAAGACCATTTGAAGATCCTTGCCCAAGAGGTTGTTTCTGACAAATCAGCAAGGATTGTCAGAAACAGGATTTATAAAAGGCTCAGCACTGGATGAGTTAGGAGCTGAGAGGATGGAAGGAAGATGAGAAATTCCCAGTAATGCCTGCCTACCTACCTCCTGCTGAGGATCACACAGATTCAGAGTGGAAGGGATTGGAAGGGACCTCTAGAGATCATCTACTCCAATTCCCCTGCCAGAGCAGGATCACCTAGAGCAGGTGAAGAAGTTTTTCCTCATGTTCAGGCTGAACCTTCTGTTTTCCAGTTTATGGCCATTGCCCCCAGTCCTGTCACTGGACACCACTGAGAAGAGCCTGGCCCCGTCTTCCTGACACCCACCTTTTAGGTATTGATAAGCATTGATAAGATCCCCCCTCAGCCTCCTCTTCTCCAAGCTGAACAGACCCAGCTCTCTCAGCCTTTCCTCATATGGAAGGTGCTCCAGACCTTTAATTATCTTAGTGTACCTGTGCTGGACGCTCTCCAGTAGTTCCTTGTGCTTCTTGAACTGAGGAGCCCAGAATTGGACACAGCACTCCAGGTGAGGCCTCACCAGCCCAGAGTAGAGGGGGAGGATAACTTCCCTTGACCTGCTGGCCATGCTCTTCTTAATGCACCCCAGGATGCCACTGGCTTTCTTGGCCATGATTTAATTATCTTAGTGTACCTGTGCTGGACGCTCTCCAGTAGTTCCTTGTGCTTCTTGAACTGAGGAGCCCAGAATTGGACACAGCACTCCAGGTGAGGCCTCACCAGCCCAGAGTAGAGGGGGAGGATAACTTCCCTTGACCTGCTGGCCATGCTCTTCTTAATGCACCCCAGGATGCCACTGGCTTTCTTGGCCATGAGGGCACACTTGGCTCATGGTCATCCTGTTCTCCCCTAGGACTCCAAAGTCCTTTCCCCCAGAGCTGCCACCAAGAGAACAGCCCCCAACCTGTACTGATCCATGAGGTTGTTCTTCCCCAGATGCAGTACTTTACACTTGTCCTTATTGAATTTCATTAGTTTTCTCCCCACCCAGCTCTCCAGCCTGTTCAGGTGACGCTGGATGGCAGCACAGCCTTCTGGCGTGGCAGGCACTCCTCCCAGTTTGGTAC